CTGTATCATCTCTATCTGTTTGTCTTTCTCTGTCCCTGTCTGTCTGTCTTGGCCCATCCATCCAGGGTCTTCTCTGGCACCCTCTCCATCTTCCTAGCTGCAGACTCCTTGGAGTAGAGCAGAGCTGGAGGAGAACTATTGTTTATAAGAGCTCCTTCCTTCCATATGGCCGATAACTATTAACGGCCCCCGCTGCATTTGCCTTGGATGCCATTCTACAGGAACCATGTCCAGACTACAGAAAGAAAACAAGAACGGGAGGAAAAGAGCGGGCGCTCAGGTTAAGGCGTTCTAGAGTTACCCGTGTCATTCCATTACTGCTTCCGGGGGTAATTAAACTATACGATGTGTGTATAACGTGGGTTGGGCAGGCCATTCATCTTGCCACAGCATCCGCCCCCCACACCCTCTCCCCCTTGCCAAAATCTCCCCACAGTTCCAAAGCTCTAGCAGCCCCATGGTACACGGTGTGTGTCTGACACTGGGTAATGACATATAGCGTCTCACGGACATTATTCATTTTCATACACAGCTTATTTATGAAAATAGAGTGGGGATCATGGAGTCATAACATAACAAGCAGAAAATAAATACTCCATCCAATAGGAGTGCCCCTCTCTCTGACTCTCTCTGGTGCCCCCTGTTGCGTGGAACGTTTCTGGCATGAAAGTGAGAGTGGTGTTATAGTGAAGTGGGCATTGCTGCTCCACGTTATGCAATTTATTGTATATGCTGCTCTGCTATGTACCAAATCACTGAGGCTATGGCACATCAGCAGTATGTTAGGACAGACTGTCTTGTTCTCGCAGGAACTGACTTTGTGTACAGTCTGTATCTCCCCCCTCTCTCTATCTATCCAGTGCTTTGTTCTGTACTGTACTGTACTGTATGATCCAGGGTGTTACTGTTACTGTTACTGTAGTATTACTGTTACTGTTACTGTAGTGTTACTGTTACTGCTACTGTAGTGTTACTGTTACTGCTACTGTAGTGTTATTGTTACGGTAACTGTAGTGTTACTGTTACTGTAGTGTTACTGTTACTGTTACTGTTACTGTAGTGTTACTGTTGCTGCTACTGTACTGTAGTGTTGCTGTTACTGCTACTGTAGTGTTACTGTTACTGTTACCGTTACTGTTACTGTTACTGGTACTGGTACTGGTACTGGTACTGGTACTGGTACTGGTACTGTTAATGTGCCTGTTACTGTTACTGTTACTGTTACTGTTACTGTTACTGTTAGTGTACTGTTACTGTTACTGTTACTGTTAGTGTACTGTTACTGTTACTGTTAATGTTACTGTTACTGTTACTGTTAATGTTACTGTTACTGTTACTGTTACTGTTACTGTTACTGTTACTGTAGAGTTACTGTTACTGTTACTGGTACTGGTACTGGTACTGGTACTGGTTACTGTTACTGTTACTGTTACTGTTAATGTTAATGTACTGTTACTGTTACTGTTACTGTTACTGTTACTGTTACTGTTACTGTTACTGTTACTGTTACTGTTAATTTTAATGTTAATGTAGTGTTACTGTTACTGTTACTGTTA